AATAATTAACTGTACACAGTTTCCAGTTAGTTACCACTACTGCTCTATTACAGTAATTAACTGGCAACACTGTTGCCAGCTACTCACTGTAATGGTTCGGTTACAGTAAATAACTGGCAACACTGTTGCCAGCCACTCACTGTAATGGTTCAGTTACAGTAATTAAATGGCAACACTGTTGCCAGTTACTTACTGTAACCAAACTTTTACAGTGAGTAACTGGCAACAGTGTTGCCAGTTTTCTACTGTAAAAACGCCCGGTAAGGTCTAACAGTGTAGATAATGACAAACAGATGCAACAGTAATCAGAGAAACACTCCGGATGCTAAACAGGTGGAATGATAATCAGTACAAAGGTTTTTGGGAAATGAAGCCTGGGATAATGACAGAGGCACAGGATGGAGTGCCCTCTAGTGAGGTTTATGGGCACTCCAGCCATTAACCATAACGCCATCAGCATTAATAAACTAGGATCTTATTACTTCCTACTTTTTCTTTGCAGGATTTTTCTTCTATCCTGCAAAAAAACCAATTTGGCTGATTTGATTGGATGAACCTCTCATCAGTACAATCCTGGCCTTTACATAACCTCAACACTGCCCTGGTTTGAAGAAAATTAGTTTGTAATTGTCATTTGCACCTTATTTTGGATTCAAGCAATTTAGAGGCCTCTAGCAAATTATCATTAGAGACTATTCATTAATATTCAGTTCAAAGCTGAGTTACGTTGCAGTTATAAGTTATTTGTGGAGGACAAAATTTTGTGTGCTAAATCCATCTGGCCTGCATTCTTTTTTTTTTTCTTTTTTTTAGTAAAGATGGGTGGAATGATCTTAAAATATCAATATACTGCATTAAAACTTTTTATGTCTCATTAAAGGCATTTCCTAAGTAGATTTTTTAAAAGAAATTCATTCATTCATTCATTTTCTTTCTGGCTTAGTCCCTTTATTAATTAGGGGTCGCTGCAGTGGAATGAACCACCAACCTCTCCAGCATGTGTTTTACAGCGGATGCCCTTCCAGCTGCAACTTATCATTAGAAAACACTCATACACTCTCATTCACACACATACACTACAGACAATTTAGCTTACTCAGTTGACCTAGCGTATGTCTTTGGACAGTGGGGGAAACCGGAGCACTTGAAGGAAACCCACGCCAACATGTGGAGAACATGCAAACTCCATACAGAAATGCCAACTGACCCAGCAGTTGCTTGAACCAGCGACCTTCTTGCTGTAAGGCAACAGCACGACCAACTGTGCCACCACGCCGTTTCTTTAAAAGCAATTAATTGCATACATTATTATCTATATTATTATCTTTTTCACTCATCTGAACATGAAAAGCCAATCATTGCAATGACAAAGCCGGACGTGGCCTTCTTTAAATGGATCACATATGTATGCTGCATTTCATAACTTGTGTCATTAAAATTATTTGTAATAACTAAATAACTATCAAATTAGTATAATTACTCAGTTGGAAAAATCCACTTAATACAAGTGTTGCTACAAGTGCAATTTAGTTTGACTAACATAGCAATTTGTCATCATGAACCTGGTATGGTTATTATAATTTGATTGTAATGACCAAATAATAACCACATTATTATAATTACTCAGTTGGAAAAATCCACTTAATACAAGTGTTGATACAAGTACAGTCTAGTTTGACTAACAGAAAATTAGTCATTTGTCATCATGAAACTTTACTTTTAAATGTGATGAATAAAATCTTTAAATCTAGCTGTAAAGATTTATTGGCCATAGCTAGGCTCACACGGAATCTGTGTGCGCAGAAATTTGCAGATTTTTAGCCAATCAAGTCTATTGATTTACTTGTGTAAGTGTAAATTTATATTGTGTGTATTTGTGTAAATGTATATTTATTCAGTTTGTTTAATTGATTTCAGTAATATTATTGACTAATATGCAAATGTTCATATCATTTATTTACAATACAGCTTGTAAAGTAATATTTTAGTAGATATATTATATAAAAGACTTGCTTTGTTTACCAAATAAGTGGAACTAACTGGATTTGAGTAAACATTAAAGTTAAAAACATTATTTTTCATTTAATAAATTAAGCTTAAATCCACAGATTTTTAACAAAATTCTGCATAGCAATAACAAAAAATTTCTGCAGATTCTGTCTGGAGCTAGCCATATAATAATAATCTATTCAGCAGTTCAAATGCACACAAGAGGACCAATCAGAACCCTTTTAGAATCTAAGATAAAGGATTTTAAGACCATGTTTAAATTCATGCAAATACCATTAATGCTCTAATCCTAAATATGTAAATTATTTATTTTCACATAAGAATATAAACAAAAAGTTACAGCACTTATCTATGGAGATGATCTAGATCTTTTAAATGAAGAACTCATGAACATCTCACCCTTTTGAAAAAGGTCTGTCAACATGATGATTGAGAGGCATTTTATGACATTAAATGAGATGAAATTGTATCTTTTATGTTAGTTGCATGGTGGTTAGCACTGTCGCCTTACAGCAAGAAGGTCACTGATTTCTTTTCCTGTTCCCCTCAAAGAATCTGCCAGTTTTTGGTGCAATCCCAGATTGTGCTATACCTTTACCTTTTGGCACTAAAGGTTTTTTAGAGTCTTTTATTTTTGACAACACAAATCTTTTTGTTGACCAAACTCTTCTCAGTTCCAAGCCAAACAAAGATATTCGTTTGGTTAATAAAAGTTCTCGGACTCCTTTACCTGCTTGCATATGTTTTTTGAATAATATATTTGATGACATAGATTGGAAACAGTTGTGGCTTCTTTGGAAAAAAAAAATTGTCTAACGAAGCTGTTGAAGTCTCAATCAAAATCATTCATAATTGCTACCAAATTAATACCTAGCTAAATAACTAGCTAGATTTAATAACTATATTTCCCCTGAATGCTCATTTTGTACTCAATATGATGAAACACTAAACCATTTATTTTGGGAGTGAACTTACTGTAACGTATTTTGGGTTGACTTTTCCAATTTCATTTTAAAAATCGTATTTTTTTAAGGACTTTGACTTGAACTCTTTGAAAGACTCCAAAAATTATATTGCATAAAATGCTTTCTTTGTGTAAATAATTTAAACTTGCTTAATTTGCTGGAATTTTATTTATGTAACCTTTGTCTCCTTGTTCATATTGTATCTTTGTAATATTCTTTCTTGCATAATAAAAAAAGAAGTTCACTGATTCGAGTTTGAGCTGAGTCAGTTGGTATTTCTGTGTGGAGTTTGCATATTCTCCCTATGTTGGCATGGGTTTCCTCCGGGTCCTCCAGTTTCCGCCACAGTCTAAAGACATGTGATACATAAATAGTGTATGTGTGTGAATGTAAGTGTTTACTTAAGTAAAGTGTTTACGAGTACTCGTATACAACTGGAGCGGCATCCGCTGTGTTAAAGACTGCTGAATAGGTTGGCAGTTCATTTCACTGTAGCGAACCCAAGTAAATAAAGAGACTAAGCCAAAAGAACATGAATGAATGACTGTTAGTTGTTGCATAATGTAAATAATGTAAATAATTAAAATATATTAAATGTGAATTTAGGGCGACGCAGTGGTGCAGAAGGTAGTGCTGTCGCCTCACAGCAAGAAGGTCGCTGGTTGGAGCCTCGGCTGGGTCAGTTGGCACTTCTGTGTGGAGTTTGCATGTTGTCCCTACGTTCATGTGGGTTTCCTCCAGGTGCTCCGGTTACCCCCACAGTTCAAAGACATGTGGTACAGGTGAATTGGGTACGCTAAATTGGCTGTATTATGGGTGTGAATGAGTGTGTATAGATGTTTTCCAGAGATGGGTTGCAGCTGGAAGGGCATGCGCTGCGTAAAAACATATGTTGAGAAAAAATTGGTGGTTCATTCCACTGTGGCGACCCCAGATTTATAAAGGGACTAAGCCGAAAAGAAAATGAATGAATAAATAAATGTAACTTTAAGCAAGCGTTGACCCTTTTCCTGCACTGTATAAGGTCTTATTTTTTTATTATTTTACAATACTGAACCTTAAATGTCATATAGGCAACAATTTAAATGGATCCTAATAGCAAGAGTAAACATCAGCCATACTGCTCTAAGGAGAAATAACCCACCACATTCAAACCTAAAATGGATACTCGCATAATGAACAAATTATTTAGCAGCCTTTTATGCTTAACTTGAACAAGAAAACCTGATTTGTAATAAAATATGATACTTTGATAGTGTACATTTAGAATACATTTATTAAATGCATGCTTATTTGTATATGGCTCTTAACAATAAATATCATTTAAGCAGCTTTACAAAGTGTGCTCATTATTACTTCATTATTTAGGCTCTGTGAGCTCAAAATATCAAAAATACATAATGATATTTAAATAATGATAATAATATCTCTATAATATAAATAGTAACACAGCTCAATATTTCATTCTAAATGGGAGAAAAAGTCCAAGCGTTCAGCTGTTGCCATGGTTACCTCTGACAAACCATTTTTCTGTGTATCTCCTAGTCAAAACATGCGCTTCCATTAAGTTTTGTCTATATACTTTCGATGTTTCTGAACATTTAAACCCCAGTTAAAATACTACACTGAGAACATACTTTCAGGACCACCAATCTTTAGTTTTGACCTCCTTTCGTGGAGTTAAAGCCTAATTAGTGAAGTCAGACTTCCCTTTTTGCATTCGGTAAATATAAAATCAAGCCATAAATTCAGCTGGAGAGATGAGGATGAGCGATTGTAAATTCATACATCTCTTCGACGATGAGAAAGTGACGAGCTGGAACCACCGGACTGCCGAAAAGCCTCTAGTCATGTGCATATATACGTGACGTCATTTTGTTGAATAAAATGCGACGCTCGATACAATTTCACGAGGGTAATGCAAGAACTGCGGGGATAGATTTATCATAGAGTCTCGTAAACAAAAGAGACTACTATACTTGTGGCAGCAGCGGCGGGAGCAACATTAGACTGCCTCGGTTGATCGGTTGGGACTCGTTGAGTGTTTTGAAGCGGACAGGTATCGATATCTGTGAGCGTGATTGATAAACAGCGCGCGCGTGCAGAACTTGGGCGAATATCACCCGAACGGCACTTGCCATGATGGAAAACACCGGCAACATTTCGGACCTTCTGTACGCGCTTTCCAACCCAATGGTGTCGAATAGCAGCATATTCTGCCGAAACTTCAGCAACAGCTCCGGTCTCGTGAACATGAACAGCTCCGTATGTGACAGGACGCCAGAGCTGGACAAAAGCTCAACTCCAGTGATTGTGGCCATCATCATCACTGCCTTATACTCTATAGTGTGTGTGATGGGACTGGTGGGAAACGTCCTCGTCATGTATGTTATTATAAGGTAAGAGAAGACATGTAGGGGAATGTATTACGATGCATAAGATATTAGAGTTGTTTTGCTTCCTTTAAATAGACATTTTAGGTGATAGTTTTTCTTTATGCAATATGATAGTTGTTGCTTTTTAAAAGGGACCTGTTGAAAGAGGTGCTGATTGTTTTCTGGTAATAGAAGTCGGCATTGCAGAAACTCCCTTTTTTGCAGTCATTCAATCACTAAAGACGGCCTGTTAATAATAGAATAAAATAATGTTTTACTGTTGTAGTTTATTTATGCTTATGCTTGCTTTTCATTTATAAAATAATATTAACGATTTACAGCTCAGAAATGTGTCTCTTCTCCACTGAGTGTGTGTACGCGTTTCCGATGTTCCTGTCAGCGTATTGGAGAAAAACATTGCATTGTTTCGTTCACATTGATTTCACACTTCATCTGATGCGGTGTAACACCGCATATTTTGCTAATCAGAAGTGCCGCTAAATAGAGATGCACTTATTTTTTGAAGAAAAAGAACGACAGTTCAATGAACAACTGGGCGGGTGCTTTGCATGAATAATCGATACTGAAATGCAGCACAAAGTGAATGGCTCATAATCAGAGATGGGCACAAAAATGAATTGGAATAGCCTACTTAAAAAAAAAAAAAAAAAAAAAAAAGACTAGAGATGGCCTATACAGACAGAGGGGCAGACAGATCGAGATAGATAGATACTGTAAGCAAATTAGATGAAGTTATCTGCGATGTAAAAAGATGCATTGTTTTAGAAAAGTTGTGGTTGCCTGGATGCTTTTGTAAAAACAAAATAGATGTAAAACCATTGATTACCTGGAGGCCTACATGTACAAGAGTGGGGTGAAAACCCAATACACACAAACACATTGTAAACCCAACAACAAACACTGCAACTAAAATATGTTTTGCACAATTAATACCACTACACCATGATAACTTAAGTGCTAAAATAAAAGTCATGAAGGATTAAAGTTCCCAAACTGAAAAACATATTATGTATGTATAGAAGCGACACAAATAAACTTTGCAATAACAATCTCTATGTAATAAACATGTAACAAACCCAAATGTACATAATCATAAATAACTTATCCACTTAAAATTATTTATTATTTCAATTTATTATATGATCCAAGTAACAATTATTTAAATTAAATATGATGTCATGCAGTAAATATTGGGAATGTGAGTTAATTTTTCCCCTTATGGAAATGGTGTGGCGAGGCATTGGCGCAGAAGTGCTGTCGCCTCACAGCAAGAAGGTCGCTGGTTTGAACCTCGGCTCAGTTGGCATTTCTCTGTGTAGTTTGCATGCTCTCCCTGCCTTCGCGTGGGTTTCCTCCGGATTTTAGCCTTTTTTTTTACACTGTGTTTGTACGAAGCCTATGGTGTTTCCCCAACAAGTACATTTCACAGTTGTCAACTGAAATTATTCAGATTTCTTTCTGTGGCTTGCCTCTTTAAACCAGACACATGCATGACAAACACATCTGACCTGATCCTGTGAACCTACAATCACAGTAACATGTGTCAGGCAAGGATGCAATCAATACACTAATTAAACAGAGGTGACTGGATTTCAATGAGGATGTGGGGGCTTATTTGTCTTAAATAGGCAGCAGTTTAGTTCAGATCAATCGCAAATTAAGTCAGAAATGCTGAGTCTAAGAGGTTGAATGAATCTTTAATATCCATTTCTTAAACAATACTATTTGCTCATCAGATTTGAAAGGCTTCAAGACATACTGGGATCAATAAGTTTGTATTTAATTGTCAAAGCATTGTCCTCTGCAAAAGGCTGCATGATTTTCTTTGCCTTCTGAAGACTCAGCGTTTTCCAAACATTTATGAGCAACCAATCACAGTTTTAGAGGCAGCTGCCTAAAGTAGGAATCATAGACAGCTATTGCCCAGTACTGCAATCTACATGTGTGATAAATGAGCCAATGCAGATTAGCTTATCGACCTCCATCATGTGGTAATAAAATGAGCCTTGAGAGAAATAAAAAATGGTGAGAAATGACATAAGTTGATTTAAAACTACATTAACATGTTTCCTCTCATGCATTTCTGTACTTGAAACAGAAATGATTAGTTCACCTCCCAAGTCTTTGAGTGGTTTACTCCTCTGTTACATGACGTGACAGCCATTTTGAAATTAGGCAATAATTCAATGTTCTTTAGTTTTTTATTTTATTTATTTATTTTTTTCACACACACAAATGGATCATTGATGAGATTTACCCACATATTTAAATCCAGGAACCTTAAAGTGAGCATATGGTCAAAAGGGAATAATTCAGATATTTTTTGCATGTTCATTGAAAGTCAGTGGATCATTTAGCGTTTAACAAAAAAAAAGTCATGCAGGAGTTGAAATAACATGAGGGACATAGAGGGCAACAGACCTGATTTTTCTTTTTATAGCTTTATAAATCCTGACTGAAGATTTGCTTATGGAATGAAAATTGTTGCAATGAATCAAAACAGTCATATTTTCATGATGCGTTACTCGTTACTTCTTAGTCCATTAAAAAGTGATACTATATTAGTTTACTTGTTATGCCAACGATATTAAGAACAATACTTCTTTTATTACTTTTACATTACTGCAGGTCATTCACATATGTTTGTCATATTGATAATGCACTCATAAAAATGCAATTGCGACAGCATATAATTACTGTGCCTTGAGTTTACGTGAGAAATGCTGAGTAGTACATTTGATTAGATGTTTTAAGTGAAGTTTATTTATAAACTAATTTCGAGAGGATCATATAAATATTGTAAGATTCACCAAAAAGACGTTTCCTAAACTATTATAAAGAGCCAGTCATCACTACAGTCATCTTCAATTTGAAAAACCCCCCTTCCACCCCTACTCCTCCACCTTTCCCTTCGTAGGGCGGCAATGTGGCCCAGTGATTAACACTGTTGCCTCACAGCAAGAACGTCAACTGTTCTAGTCCTTAAACAGGCCGACAGATGTTTCTGTGCAAAGTTAGCATGTTCTTCTTGTGCTCGCATGGGTTTCCTCCGGGTTCTCCAGTTTCCTCCCACAGTCCAAATAACATGCACAATAAGTTACTTGATCAATCAAAATTTAGCACTACAGTCAAAAGCATATCTCTTCATCATTTTCTGTCATCGGCTTTTATCAAAACAGGGGAAGTTCTCGAGACCTACCTCAGCTCAGAGCCCCCCCTCTCACCCCTAGCACCTCATGATGCTACAAGCTTAGCACAGCGCTTTTTAGGCAGTTGAATGCCAGTACCTCTCAAGCTCTATCTATTTAGATTTCTCCAGAGATGTTCATTCGGGTTCAAGTCTGGGCTCTGGCTGGGCCACTTAGGACATTCATAGAGCTGTCCTGTAGACAATCTTTTGTTATCTTGGCTGTGTGTTTAGGGTTGTTGTCCTGTTGAAAGATGAACTATTGCCCCAGTCTGAGGTCCACAGATTTCTGTTTTTCATTAAGGATGTTTCTGTACATAGTTGAAGAGATGGTTGTTCTTCTGCAAGATTCTCTTCTATCTACAGAGAAATTTGGTCAACTCTCTCACTAAGGTCATTCTTCTTCATCAGTTGCTTAGTTTGACCATGTATATTGGAGACCACTGTGATCATTGAAACCATCAGTGCCACAGAACGTTTCTGTGCCCTTCCCCAAATCTGTTCCTTGATACAATCCTGTCTTTTAGGTCTACAGACATTGTCTTTAACTTCATGGCTTGGTTTGAGCTCTGATATTAACTGTTAAAAGTTACATTATTTAGACAGTTGTGTACCTTGTCATGTACTTCATCTGGATTTGCCACAGGTGTACTCCAGTAAAGTTGTAGAAACATCTCAAGTATGATCAGTCCAAACAGGTGCACCTGACCTCAATTTTTAATGTTCAAACATAGGCTGTAAACGCTTCTGTATATGTGATTTGTTTTTAATGAATTAGCAGATAATTAAAACAAGCTTCTTTCGCATTCGTCATTATAAGGTTTTGTTTGTAGAATTTAGAGAGAAATTATTAATTAAATCCATTTCAGAATGAAGCCTTGGTCACACATGCAAAAAATGCCGGAAACGCAAACTCACGTGACAAGTTTCACAGTTCGTGCATTGAAAAGTTCTAGCTTAGTTCTAGTTCAAGCTGAACTCTGATCAGCAAAATCACATCACGTGATTGCATGAGACCAATTGAAGATCAAAACATGACCTCAGTGTACAGAAATGTAAAATATAGACCAATGGCTCACTTTTTTGTAATGTCTAACAACAGAATTTTGCATGCTCAAACTCTCAACCCAGGCTCATTCTAAAAACCTAGGTCTGTGAACGTTTCCGGAGACCACGAAATATGTCCCGAGAGGTACGTATTTTTGTATTTTTATGTTTTTGTTTTCGCGAATACACGAGAGGCCGCTGTGTATGTGTGCCGCTTTTTCATATCTCGAATGTCTCTCGTGAGTGCTGTTCGCGTCTGTGCTGTTTTCGCGTAAACCCACCTGAGGCCGCTGTCGAGTGACCGTCTGTCTGACTGACCGTCTGTCTGACTGACTGAATAATTAACTAGGCAATCGGCCAATCAACCTACCCACCCTCCTCCTTCCCTAAACCCAACCCATTTTACAGATTGACCCGCCCACGTCCTTACTTCCCTAAAAAAACGGCCTCATCTGATTTTTACCATGTTTTCAGATTTTACCACATGCTCACCCTGTTATTCATTTGTTCATTTTATTTTTCGGATTCTGTTTTTGTCTTACCTGATTTCTGGAAACGCTCTTCACTGGATTCGAACCCTGCGCCTCAAGTCCGCCGACGTACAGGATAAGCTAACTGGATAAACTGGTTGCAGCGGTAAAGCCCTCCACAAAGAGGTAAGCGCTCAGCCGGTACGTAGCGTTCGCTCAAAAAAATTAAATACAGTAATACGTACGTCCGGCTACGTTATTCGAGGTCTCCAGAAATGTCCACGGGATTACTTTTTCAG